CTGGGGGGCTGCGATTTGTGAAGCTGTCGCCACTTTCGAGGCCTGCTGGGGGGCCCAGCACAGTGGGTACCCACAGCAGACTCACATGGGACCTCGCCATCCCTGGGGGGCTGCGATCTGTGAAACTGTCGCCGCCACTTTCGAGGCCTGTTGGGGGGCCCAGCACAGTGGGTACCCACCGCAGATTCAAATGGGACTTCGCCGTCCCTGGGGTGCTGCGATCTGTGACACTGTCGCCATTTTCGTGGCTTGCTGGGGGGGCCCAGCACAGTGGGTACCCACCGCAGATTCAAATGGGACGTCGCCATCCCTGGGGGGCTGCGATATGTGAAACTGTCGCCACTTTCAAGGCCTGCTTAGGGGCCCAACTCAGTGGGTTTCCCGCACGTTTTTCTCCTGCTCTTTGTTCCCGACTCCCCATATCCTCTTCGAGCTTGTAGCTGTTGCCCCTCTTTCTTGTATGGTTCTCCTGCGCATCATGCCATAGGCGCGTGTCCCAAGTAGCTTACAGATCAAACAACGGATCCTGCAATTTGATTGTCCATGCAAGTTTCGGCCAACTCCTCGTTTCCCATGATACACATGGGTCGGGTACGTCACAGGGTAACTTTGCGTCTAGGGACCCTCTTGGGACGCATCTTGGAGGCCCCTTGGGGGCGTCTTGGGCCAGCTGGAGGCCATCTCGGGTATCTTCGATCGCTCTTGGACCGTGTGGGACCATGTTGAGCTCTCTTGGAAGCCACTTGGAGCGCTCCTGGAGCGCTCTTGGGGTCGTTTTCGGGGCTCTCTTGGGCCGTCTTCGGCGCCTCTTGAGCCGTCTTGGCGCCCTCTTGGGCTGTCTTGGAGCCCTCTTGGAGGCTTCTTGGACCGTTTTAATGCGGTCTTGGGGGCCTCTTGGGCCGTCTAAGAGCGTCGGGAAGGCCAAAAGGCGAATTTGTGAAAAATATATGTTTTACGAAGAGAGCGGGCCAACTTTTTGCGTCTGGAGGCCCTCTTGGGGCGCATCTTGGATGCCTCTTGGAGCCTCTTGGGGGCATCTTGGGCCGTCTGGAGGCCGTCTTCGGTGTCTTGAATCGCTCTTGGACCGTCTGGGACCATATTGAGCTCTCTTGGAGGCCACTCGGAGCGCTTCTGGAGCGCTCTTGGGGCCGTTTTCGGGACCCTCTTGGGCCGTCTTGGACGCCTGTTGGGCCGTCTTGGGGCCCTCTTAGGCTATTTTGGGGCCCTCTTGGAGGCTTCTTGGGCCGTCTTGGGGCGGTCTTGGGGGCCTCTTGGGCCGTCTGGGAGCATCGGAAAATCCAGAAGGCGAACTTGTGAAAAATATACGTTTTACAAAGGGAATGGGCAAATTTTTGCGTTTAGGGACCCTCTTGGGACGCATCTTGGAGGCCTCTTGGGGCCTCGTGGTGACCTCTTGTGCCGTCTAGGAGGCCTCGTAGCCCGTTTTTGGGCCACTTTGGGCGTCTTGGAGCGCTCGTTTGGCGTCTCGGGGCCATTTCGAGGCCACCGGAGGAGTCCCTGCAGGATTTTCGGGAGCGGATGACCCCCCCGGGGGAAACGGGGAATTTGAACAGACACCCCCCCCCTCCAAATCGACCGGACCAGGCTCCCGGGGGAGGGGTTTGGGGAGGGGGAAGATCTCACACGCCGATGAACCCCAAGGGGTCGGCGGATTCGAGACGTGCGCAACAACTTTTCCACTTAACGCAAGGTAAGGAGCCAAGCGCCTCGACGGCGCAATCGGCAAATCAGAGCGGCTGGTGCTCTGGACTCTGCTCCGCCGCGTCGCCCTGGAGCCATTTGGGCTCCTGGACGCTGCTTCCGCTCCTCGTCCTCCTCCTCCTCCTCCTCCTCCTCCTCCGTAGCCATTTTGGCTCAAGCCATTTTGGCTCAAGGAGCAGCCTGCCCCCCCCCCTTTCTCCTACACCCACGCGCCGCAGTTTCCGCCATGTCTTCCAGGACGCCTTGGGTTCGCAAAGAAGGAGTAGGAGCTCCTGTTGTTTCGCATTCAAAGTTACTTTGCCCGCGTGGCAGACCAGACTGTTGGATCTGGCCTAATAGAATTGCTTCTCAGCCGTTATGTAAGTGCGGCCTTCCGTGGCATGGGAAGAGTTCCCAGCCACTTCCCCCACCTCCGCCACCACCGTCAGCAGCGAAGTCTGGTCGCACAGAAAGGATCAAGGCTGAGGTAGTAGTTGACAGGGAGAAGTCCCAGTCCAAACACAAGCCCACTGTCCAGGAAGAAGCCGACAGTGAGAAGACGCAGCCACCGCCGCCTCTTGTGGCAGTGAAGGCCAATCCCAAAGATAAGGCCGCTCGTCAGGTAGAAGCCGACAGAGAGCAGGGCCAGGATTTCAAAGTCAGGCACCAGTTCAAGCTTTTGATCTCGGATGTCTTCCAGCAGTACGAACCGCAGATGCTGGATCAATTGGACTATTTCTTGGACACGTACAAAGGGCAAAAACAGTTTCTTTATTTGGCAGTATGCGAGAAATTCAATGTGGAGCCTAAGGTAAAGGTTCAGATCACCAAGAAGGAAGACAAGCTTCCAGTTTTGGACAGCGATAGCGTGTCCGACTCACCTTCTGCCAGTAAACATGTCGACCTCGTTCGACTTCTCCAGAGCACGCTAGTAAGCGTGCAAAGGTTGGGCACAGCGATGCCGCCCCTTCCAGTGGTTCTGCCCCGTCCAGTTCAAAACTGCTGGAGTTAAAGTGTGGTCTCCAGGATATCAAGATCAAGCACCTCCAGCAGAAGCTAGAGACACTCCAGGAGGAGCTCAATCGCGTTAAGAATCAAAACGCAGCTTCAGGCAGTGCGCCTGTTCCTAGGAGGAGCAGATCCAGCTCAGACTCCACTTCTTCAAAGTAATTGGAGCAACTATGTTGGTAGTATCCAACTTTCTTTCAGCGGCAGAATGTTTATAGCATCTTGGGCTAAATAGCAACTTGAGTATTGGCTTAGTGAGCATAATTCATCGGCTACAGGTTTTGGTAGAATCCTTTTGTGTTGGTCCTTTCGTTTGGGTAGGACAGTTGTCAGCTACCCAGCGTTCTTTTACCTTCACGTCTTTTTCTTTGGCCAGATCGGCAGAACTATGAAACAGGTAGCTTACCTGCATTTTCTTCTTCATGCGCTAGTTGGGTAGCTGTATTCAGCCCAGTTTATTTTACTTTTCAGGGGTCCAGGAAAGTCTGGCGAAGTAATCCCCTAGTATTCTCTCTTCCCTTTGGGGAACGGAGGTCTCGCTCTGCTAGGGGACTCCCATTAGTATGTGGCAAGAAAGTTTACCCCAGTGCTTTGCAGTCTTGATCTCCTCCCCCTTCCCTTGTTCCTACTGTCTTCCCCCCTCCCTCCTTCCTCCCTCCAGACAGTTCAAGGAATTGGCAGCCAGGCCACAGGCGAAAGCAAGTGGCCTTCCCTGGCGGGTCTTGCCATGGTCTCACCATGCTCGAAAGTCCGAACCTGCAAGTTGGCGTTCAGGGATTGCTCTTGTCTGGGGAGGGGGTCACTGGTGGGTGGGATGGGATTCTCCGCCCCGCTCTGGGGAAGTTCTGCATTGTTTCTGTTCTGGCCTGGGAACGGCCCATTCGAAGGTGGGCAGCGTTTAACCCGGGCGAGTTGTTTTTCATGCATGTCCTTCTCCTCCTCTCCTCCTCCTGGGGTAGGGTTCTTGGCGCCGGCTCGGAACTGGCAACGCCCCAGGCTTGGACTGGGGGTCAGTTGCTGTCCGCGGAACGTGCTTGAGCTTTAGTTCAGCCCCGAAGCGAATGTAATGTCCTCCTCCTCCTCCTCCTCCTCCTCGTGCCTCATGCCTCCTTGGGCCCGAGGTCTCCGACCCCCTGGATATGTAAGTGCGATGTAGTTGCTCTACATGGTTTCCAGGATCCGAGGGGAGCGGTGCTCTGGCGCCGCCTGGACCGCAGAAAGGAGACCCACCTTCTGCAGGCCCACGGTAACCTGGGGCTCCCCTTCACATTAGCTTGAGCTTGATGCCTTCGCTGTGAGCGTCGCTCCATTTTCGGTCCAAATTATTTGAAGTCCAGCTGTATGCGCTTGAGCTTGAACTTCCGCTCAACACGCGGAAGCTTCGCTCCATTTTATATTTCTCTTTTAGCTTGAGCTTGAGCTTCCGCTCAACGCGCGGAAGCTTCGCTCCATTGCCATAATTTGTGGGAATGCCGAGGCGAGGTTCTCACAATCGCTCTGACTGTCGATCTCGCAATCGATCCAACTAGAGATCGCACGAGCGATCTCATGATCGATCTCACTGAATCGACTTCACTTTCGGTCTGACGATCGGCCTTACAATTGTCCTCACTTTCGATCCCACTTTCGATCTCCGTATCGATCCTATAATCTTCCTCCTCCCATCCATTGTCTTTGCTTGCACGGCCCGATGAGAGTGCCTTGGTATCCAGCGTAGCGTGCCGCGCTGGCGGCTCGCGTAAGCCGCGGCGTGAGGTCGCTATGCCGTCTCGCGTAAGACCTGCTCTTGATCATCGCTCACAATTGTTTGTTCCCCTGCGTCCTCCTCCCATCCCTCTGTCACCTCGCTTTTTTCTTCTCGCTTTACCCCTCGTGCCCCCCTCCCGCCGTCGGAGGGGGGGGGGGCAGGGCCCCCTCACGAGGGAGGAGCAACCCCTCTCACCTGGAGGGGCCCCTCCACAAAGGGTTGGGAGGAGGAGGAGGACGAGGAGGAGGGGGAGGAGGCGCCCCTTCTGAAAGGAGGGGCCCTTTCTTCAAAGAAGGCACCGACCGCTCTTCAGAGGAGGAGTACCCCCCCCCCCGACCACCCACATAATTGGTCCTCCCTGCGTGAGCCTCTCCTGGGCCCCCCGCTCTGGGGGAGGGCGGGGGGTGACAGCGCCCACCCAAGACATCCGCGCGGACCTCCATGCGGTGGACCTCTTCTGTTGCTGTGTTCCTACTGCACGCCGCATGCCACTCCCGATTTCCTCTCCAATTCCTGCTGCCCTTTTGCCCGAGCCCCCCTCCAGGCGGAGACAGCTGCGCCAAGTTCGGGTGCGTGACCTACAATGCCGGGCACAGCTGCCAGTGCAACGCGGGCTGCACCGAGTTCGGATCGTGCTGCAGCGACTACGAGGATGTAGGAGGGAGAGCAGGAAAAACACGATTGGGGGGATTATGACGAAAAGTAATCAGCAGCATAATGGTATGCATGAGGAGTATAATGAAGAGGAGGGGAAACAGGAAGGAGGATGATGCGTAAGCGAAAGAGGGAGAACGAGAGAAAGGCGATATACATGTAAGCACCGGCACGCGTACACATACAGACAGAGCATGTCTTTCGTCAGACGCCGGCTTCGTTGACACGTGAGGCTACCAGTCTAAATAATTCCCCATGCAGATACAATGATGCATTAGTGGGTACAAGCAGGGCGACTGAGATTGGCGAAATGAAGGGCGTGGGTAGGGATGAGGCCCACCAGGTCGATGTAGGTTAGGCCCCCATCGATATGCGAGAACATACGGCGAACGGGCTTTACCGTACCAGGCGGGTATATAGAGCGGGCAAGTATCAACAAGCACATATTCCAGTTTGGTTGTGAGGCTGTTGCCGCTGCTGGTGATGATGAATTCCTCTCTTGTAGACCCCCTTCTTGTCTCCAATGCTGTCACGTGGGGCCGTTTAGAACACAAGTGACACTCAAGGACAGTTGTTGCCAGGGCACTCAAGAACCGCCCGAGACCTTGAACCCACACCCGAACGAGCCCTTGTCCATCCTCGCTCTTGCCACCGGCACGGGGCCGCATGTTGCTCTCCTTTGGCGTAGCCCGCTGCGCGGCATCGTCAAGGCGGGGTGCATGGATCAGGGACAGCGTTAGGGGCTGGGACAGGCTTAGGGGGAGCTGCACAGGCCCCCAATCGCCCACTGATCGCCGATACGGGCCTGGTAGGTCACCCCGCCCAGGAACGTGCGACGTCGCAGTCGGGGGCCTGTCGCCGACCAATCGGGGATGCATCGCCAGTTCCAGCTCGATGTTCTCGCCCTGGGGCCAGCCCCCCTCCAGCGATCCCCCTCCATGGAAGGGGGGCGAAGGCTCAGAGATCCCCCGCCGACCCATCCGCAGTCCCGGGCGCCGACCCGCCGCAGTTTTCTGCCCTGACTTTCCGCACTCTGTCTAGCATGAAGTCGGGCATGTCCTTCTACAGGAATACTACTCAAGAGTAGTAAAAAGATCGTTTGGAGAGGATTTCTTCGTGCTGTTCTCATCACACAGCAGGTATTTGTTCGACTGCTTGTCATTCTACTTTCAAGAACCGCCTGCAGGAGGAGATGCCCGACGTAAGTCTAGCATTGCTCTGGGTCAGCCCGCCGAGTGGAAGTAGCGCGGCATGCTTCTTCCCCGAGTCCAGATGATTTCAACATGGAGGCTGATTGCCGCCAATTGGAGCAGGGGGGGCGCGCGGCCTTTGCCCGCGCCTTTTTCGAATATGCTCGTGGATGCCTGGCTGCACGGTTCCAACCGAAGCAACTTGATCCGAGTTCACTGTGTGAACACGAAGAACACGCGTAAAGCTGAACTTTATGGAGGCCCATCTGGATCTCTTGGTTCAGCGATGGGCACCCCTCCCGGGCGTGCGGATCGCTTTCGCGGCAGCGCCACGGGCGCCGCCAGTGGTGGCCAGTGCGGGTCCAGAAATTCCGCGCGGACCGTCGAAAGTTCTGGCGTTCAAGTCTATGGAATGACAATGTTGCGGCTGGTGTTGCTGTAGCTTTTGTTGTTGCTGTAGTTGTTGTTGTTGTTGTTGTTGTTGTTGTTTGGTGTTGTTATTGTTGTCGTTGCTGGTGTTGGTGTTGTTGTTGTTTCCATATACTGTTTTCTGTACTGTTCCCTCTCTACTATTGTCTTTACTTATCTCTCTTCTTTTCTCGACTGTTCTCCGTACTGCTCTCTCTCTACTGTTCCTAGTATCGAGTTGTTGTTTATCTCTACTTGTGTATTCCCCCGCCAACAGGCGAGGGTTGTAATCGGGATGGCCCTGAGTGGCCCGCCCAGCCCGCCCTGCATACCACGCCGCCAGGCCTCAGGAATCCCTGTGGTTCGAACGACAGCACACACAGCAGGCATCCAGTTTGCCATACGTTCTCTGTGATTAAGACACGTGCAATTGACAGGCAGCCCTACCAGGAGACGTCACGCCGTCCAGGCGTCACGACGCTACGCCGTCCACATAAGTTGAGAACTTACCCCAACAGCATACACGAGTACTAGATAGCACGAACTGGCACCGGAACGTGCAGTCAGAGCTTACATGTCACATAACAGGAACGGACATGACACCAAGACCAGGCATCGATAGCAGAGACCGACAGCAGAAATCAAATTGTATATAGCCACGCAGAAGAAACAGTCACATGCATCCAACGCGTACGCGAAGATCAGACGTCAAAGGCATGTATTACGAACGTGTGCCAACAAGATACACCACAGGACACTTTACCAAGAAGGCACACACCTCATTTATTTTGCTGAAACACGACCTGATTACACGCATCAGTAAGATGCACCATCATGCGTCACGAGCACACCAATTACACAGCCCGAGTGGCACAGCAATGACGTGCAGTCCAGGCATGCATCAATATCTTACACCGTGATCATACATCACCACCACACGTCGCGATTGAACAACCAGAACACTTTCCATACGCACGCAATGAACATGCACCAAGAACATGAACCACGGACTGGCACTACGATCATACACCCAGCATGGGCAGTAAGCAAGCACATCAAGACTTAACAGTTTAATCACACCAAAAGGTTGCGCACATCTACAAGCCTTCTCTTCCACGAGCGGTACTGACAGACCAAGTCAACACGTGAATGATACAACACACAGATGCCACAACAACATGCACCATTAACGTACACCTTTGATCGACAACATGAACATGTTCCAATCACTTGCACCACGACCATGCACCACCACATACATGGCTAGCATGCGCGACAACACAAACCAAACGCCGACACGCGTGCCGCGCATCTAACATACTCACTTCGAGATTACATCCAGACCGCACTTCCACACCACACACCGACCACACAAGAAGTAACAAACATCACTAGCATATACCATTCGCACACGCTTTTTTCGAACACCAAGTGTCTACGCCTACGCCATAAAGGGTTCAATAACGTCTCCCGATGCCAGATTCCACTCGCGCACATCAAGAACACACAGACGACCTACCGTAGCCATTTTGGCTCAAGCCAGTTTGATTCACGCGACGTTGCGCCAACCGGTTGTGACTGAAGGTGCATGGGATGGGACTCTTCTCTCCAGGCTTTCGTTGCCGTTCGCATGGCGCAGCACGCAGCAAGATTTCAAGAGGTGCGCGGCTGCAGGTGTGCAAAACAACATGTTGTTAGGGTTAGTGAACAGTCAACTCCCGATCAGCTTAAACTCGGTGATAGCTTTGCCGTGTTCTCTACCATGAGAAAGTACATCACATCACACATGCGCGATCAGTTTCAGGCTCGTGGCATTTTCTGTTGTTCCCGAACGAAAAGGACTTACAGCTTAGATGGGATGTGCAGCCCGTATCTAAGCTACGAAGGCAGATCGCGTGCCAATTTGTTCCATGGGGCAAAACGCAGAGCTCTGACCAAGGGGTTGCCATTCGACGAGGACATGATGTTGCAAATGACGTCTGGGCAATTTCCATCGTCATTCACCAACGTCCCTTACCATCGGTTTGGGCCTTCCCCTCACAGACTCCATCCAATGGCGGTGTCAATTGATCGCATTTAGGGTTCCAGAGGTTACGAGCGTGGCAACGTTCGTTTCTTGCCGTTCTGGTTGAACACCTGTTTGCAACATTTCTGTGACGAGAAAGCCTTTCGCATTGTGGAAAGGTTGTTGGGATTACGGCCTTTCCTTCCGACGCGCCAAATTCAAGAAGAATTGCTTCCATTTGTAGAACGGAAGATTGCAAAGCTTCGTTGGAATGCAAAGCATCGCGGTGTTGAATTCGGGAGGTGTCTTAATGTGTCGGCTTTGATGCATCATTAGATGTTGATGGACAGATGCCGATTCAGTGGTATTCCCTTGGCCTACCGCCGGGAGAAAGGAATGTGCACGCGTGCTGACACTCCGTCTTTCGACAGGATGAATCCAAGCGAAGGCTACTTTCTCAATAATGTACAGGTGATAGCGATGCCGGTAAACTCGTTGAAAAGCAACCTTACACACGATGGTTTGTATACTCTTCTTAACTCAATTAGGTTTCTGGAGGCGCCCGAGTTCCTCGAGTCACACATCCCAGGATACGCTCGCTAAAATGACCGTACAAGGAGCACACGTGCAACCCAGACGATCATGCATCAGCAGCATGCGTGATGAACGTACATCTTGGCGCACTAACGCTCCTCGGTGCGGACAGTTCTCATCGAAGCCACATCATCGTGCAATATTTGCTTTATTGTTTGACATGAATTTCCCTTCTATTTTCATGTTCTAACCCTCCTGTCTTGGATTCTCATGTTGAATAGAGCACTGCGGTCGCACACCCTCTTCTTCTCTACCCCGCTCCTCCTGCCTCCTCCTGCGCTGCTCCCTGGGGGGCTGCGAATTGCGCAATGGTCTCCATTTGCGTGGGCTCCTGGGAGGCACGGCGGAGTAGGCAAGTACCCGGGACACACCAGCTCCTTGGGTGGTTGCGAACTGCGCAAGTGTCGCAATTTTCGTTGGCTCCTGGGGTGCACGGGGGAGTAGCGGAGCACCCAAGATTTGGCAGCTTCCTGGGTGCTTGCGAGTTACGCAGTTTTCACAATTTTCGTAGGTTCTTGGGAGTCACGGCGGAGTAGGGGAGTCTTCGGGACTTCGCAGCCCTTTGGGTGTCTGCGAATTGCGCAGTGGTTGCCATTTTCGTTGGCTCCTGGGAGGCACCGCGGAGTAGGAGAGTACCCGATACATCGCAGGTTTGTGATTTGCTGCAGGCCACGCAATTGTCGCAACTGTCGTGGGCTCCTGGTAGGCACGGCGGAGTAGCGGAATAGGCGCAATCAGCCGAGACATCGTGGTTGTTTTGTTGGAAGCAACGTGTGCAATTGTCGTCTTGTTTTGTGGGTTCCTGGGGGGCACGGCGGAGTCGCGGAGTGCGCGCATCCAGCCGCCGAGACTCCGTTGCTCCTTGGAGGGCTCCTGGGAGGCACGACGGGGTCGCGGGGTACGCACATCCAGCTAAGACCTCGCAGCTCCTTGGGTGGCTGCGAACTGCGCAACTGTCGCCACTTCCGTGGGCTCTCGGGATGCAAGGCGGGGTCGCGGAGCGGGCTCCTGGGGGGCACGGCGGGGTAGCGGATTACGCGCATCCAGCGGAGAGTTTGCAGTTTTCTGGGTGGTTGCGAATTGCGTAATTGCATTTTTGAAGAGGGTTTTTGGGAGGCACGGCGGAGATGGAAATGAGGGCAGCACATTTGGCGATGTCTTCTTTTGCAGCGAACGTTCATATACAGTTTCTCCTTGCTTGGAGAAGGGGTTGGGTACGTTCCAGGCACACAGGACTATGATACACCAGGGTCATCGCCAATTGCATACACCACGATCGAGCAACCATCACATAGTTCCTACACACATGATGAACACACAGAGCATGCACCACGAATTGCCACCACGATCATACACCAAACATAGGCATTACGAACGGACATCAGGAATGCACAGTTTAATCACATCACCAGGTTTTGAACACATCTAGAAACTTCCCCTTCCACATGCGCCACTGACAAACCAACCCAACCCGTCAATAACATCACACTAAGTCCCAACAGCTTGCATCACTAATGTGCACCATTGCTCGGCATCAGACACGCACCACCACACACATGGGTAGCACTCGTGAGTAATAAATCCCAAACGCCGGCACGAGTGCTGCACAGAGAACATACTCACCGCGTACGTACATCCAGCAAGCGCTTCAACACCACAGCAGCCACACAAAAAAGTAACACGCAACACTAGCATACAGCATTCGCACACGCCTTTGGCGATCACCAAGTGTCAACTTCTACACCACACAGAGATCAATACCGCCCCTCCGATGCCATGTCCCACGGACACAACAATACCACACAGATAGCTTGTCATAGCCATCTTGGCTCAAGCCAGTTCGACCCAGCCTAGTTACGTTGCGCCAACCGTTTTTGACTGACGATGCATGGCCGTGGGCATGGCAACGCAAGCAGCTAGGCAGCAAGGTATCATGAGGTTTGCGGCTGCAGATGTTTAACACAACGTCTGTTGTAAGACTACTGAACATCCGACAGTCGATCACCTTCAACTCTGCGATAGCGTCGCCATGTGCTCGACTATGGGGGAGTGTATCAAATCACACATGCGCGATCAGCCCCAGACTCGTGGCATGTTTTGCTATCCCCAAACAGCAGATCGTCCAGCTTAGATGGCATGTGCACCCCGTACCTTAGCTGCGAAGGCAGAACGCGTGCCGATTTGCTGTATGGAGCAAAGCGCAGAGCTCTGACCAAGGGGTTGCCTTTCGACGAGGACATGATGCTGGAAAGGACGTCTGGACCATTTCGATACTCATCCATCGATGTTCGTTTCCATCGGTTCGGGCCTTCCCCTCACGGACCCCATCCAATGGTGGTGTCAATTGATCGCATTTCGAGTTCCAGAGGTTACGAGCGTGGCAACGTTCGTTTCTTGCCGTTCTGGTTGATCACCTGTTTGCAACATGTCTGTGACGAGAAAGCCCTTCGCATTGTGGAAAGGTTGTTGGGATTACGGCCTTCTCTTCCGACGCGCAAAATGCAAGCAGAAATGCTTCCACTTGTAGAACGGATGGTTACAAAGCTTCGTTGGAATGCAGCGCATCGCGGTGTTGAGTTCGGAGAGTGTCTTAGTTTGCCGGTTTTGGTGCATCACCACACGTTGATGGACAGATGCCAGTTCAGTTGTATTTTTTCACTTACCGCCAAGAACAACAGATTGCCCACCCGTGTTGGCACTCCGTCTTTCGACAAGGTGAACCCAAGCGAAGGAGACTTTCTCAATAATGTGCAAGTGGTGGCGATGCCTCTTAACACGTTGAAGTGCAACCTTTCACGCGATGGCTTGTTTTGTTATTGTTCTCATTGCAATTCGGAGTTTGAAGGCGCCTGGCCCGTCGAGTCACACACCCCAGGATACGTTCGTTGATCTGACCATCAAAGGAACACATGCGTCAGCAGCATGCGTGATGAACGTACATATTGAGGCACTGACGCTCATAGGTGCGGCCCGTTTTCCCCGAAGCCAGATCATCGTGCCCCATGTTTTACGTAGTTTTGTTCTATGGATTCCTCTTGTGTTGGGTTCTCGTTTTGAGTAGAGCACTGCGGTCGCACACCCTGCTCTTCTCCTCTCCCCTCCTGCGCTGCCTCCTCCTGTGCTGCTCCCTCCTGCGCTGCCTCTTCTTGTGCTGTCCCCTCCTCCTGCGCTGCCTCGCAGCCCTTCTCCTGCGCTGCTCCCTGGCAGGCTGCGACCTGCGCAGCTGTCGCTACTTGCGTGGGCTCCTGGGAGTCACCGCGGCGCAAGAGTGTACCCGAGATTTCGCAACCTCGCAATACGTTGAAGAGCAACCTTTCCCACGATGGCCCGTATACGTTTTTTATTATTTCCATTATGTACTTTGAGAACAAAAAACAATTCGTGTTTTGAAGGCAGCCGAGTTCTTCGAGTCACGCGTCCCAGGATTCGTCTGTTGTTCGCATCAAAGAAAAAGGGCACGTCGGTCACCTAGTCAAAGAAAAACATAAGCAGCATGCGTGGTGAACATACACATTGAGGCACTGAAGCTCATCTGTGCAGACCTATCCCATCGAAGCCACATCATCGTGCCATCATTGCTACACATGTTTGTTCAAGTTTGTCCTCGTACTTGTAGTTCCCAACCCTCCTGCGTTGGATTCCGTGTTGGATAGAGCTTTGCGGTCGCACACCCTGTTCTTCTTCTCCCCTCCTCCTGCGCTGTTCGGGTGCGAATTGCGCAACTGCAACCACTCTCGTTGGCTCCTGGGAGTCACGGCGGAGCAGGGGAGTTCCCGAGACCTCGCAGCTCCTTGTGTGGTTGCAAAGTTAGCAGTTGTCGCCACGTTCGTGGGCTCCTGGGATGCTCGGCGGAGCAGGGGAGTACCCGAGACCTCGCAGCTCCTTGGGGGGTTGCGAAATGCGCAATTGTCGACCTTCGTGATCTCATCGATGTCACAACGGAGTACGGGAGTACCCGAGACCTTGCAGCTCATTTGGGTGGTTGCGAATTGCGTGTTTGTCGCCACGTTCGTGGGCTCTTGGGAGGCACGGCGGAGTAGGGGAGTGCCCGAGACCTCGCATCTCCTTGGGTGGTTGCAACATTTGCAATTGTCGCCTTTTTCGTGGGTCCATGGGAGGCACGGCGCAGTCGCGGAGTACGCGCACCCAGATGAGACCTCGCAGTTCGTTGGGTGGCTGCGAACTTCGCATTTGTCGCCACTTTCGTGGGTTCCTGGGAGGCACGGCGGAGTCGCGGAGTACGCGCACCCAGCCGGGACCTCGCATCTCTCTTGGTGGTTGCGGTTTGTGCACCATCGCCATCTCCGAGGGCTCCTGGGAGGCATGGCGGATTCGCGGAGTACGCGCATCCAGCCGAGACCGCGCAGTTTTCTTGGAAGGCTGCGAACTGCGCAGTCTCTCTTTTTTCAGGGGCTCTTGCAAGGTAAGGGCAGCACATCTGGCGATGTGTGTGGTCTTGTATGGAGCGTTCATGCACAGATTCGCCTCGCGTGCAAAAAGGGGTTGGGTACGCCGCGGGTGATTTGCTCGCCCTGATGGTATCAAGTCCCTCTGCCCCTCCAGGGGGGGGGGGGGCGGGCGCCCGCGGCAGGAGCACTGCACGGCGGCTGACGGCGGCCACCGGTCGGAGAGCGCGTCCTCGGACAGCGGCGACGGCCCCGGGGGGCGGTGGGAATGCCGTTGTCGGCCTAGCAATGCCAAGGGGGGGAACACCACCCGAGGAGGCCCTGACCTCCTCGCGCCGCGGCGACAGCAAGATGCGGGGTTCGTTGGCAACGTTTCGGCTTCGGGGTGCCCTCATCCAGCCCCGGGGCCGCCGTTAAAAGATGACTCGGGCCCCAGGAAACCCGCCAGACCTGTTTGGGAGCCACACAAAAAAATACAACGCCGGATGTCTCAGCAGGGGGTATTGCCAGCTCCTCCGAAAAATACAAATTCCAGGGTCGAAAACAAAAATTCGGGCAATTCGAAATTCCCGAGCTTCGACGCACGAGTGGAGCGAGTAACTCCAGGATGGTACCCAGAATGAGTAGCCAACCCATTCGGGGGCTACAAAGGTGCCCCCCAGCTTTTCGCTCAGTTCTGCAGCTCCTGTGGCCCTCTGGGCCTCGTGAGCGCTGCTCCAGAGGCCATGGCATAGGCGCCACCTTGCAAATCCTGGGGGCACCTTAGGCAGGGGGCGCTTCTAGCAGCACCCGACCCTGAACTACTCCCCCTTTCGTCTGGCTCGTCCCTTCCCCTAATTAGGATACCATTGCGGGCCTCATCCCGTTCAAATTCCGCTGAATCCCGCTTGGTATGGCAACATCCATTGCTTGATCTGGCCTGGTATGCGCTAATGGCCCCGCAATCGGGCTTGATAACTTTGAATCGTTTTCGCGAAGACCCCGATATGTCTCCTCCTCTGAGCCCCGGTCGCTGGCCTCGGCCGCGAGGAGGGACCTCTGGGCCCTGGGTCCCGCCCCATAGCCCTGACATCCGCAGGTGAGATGTGTGCTTGCAATCTGCGGCCCCAGAGGTCCCGACAGTCGGCGGCGAGCGAGGGGGGGACACGAGAATGGTAAGGTTTTCTCAGAAGGCGGCGGCGCTTCTCAGAATCCCTCGCGCCATCTGAGCATTGTTTTTTGTTTTCGGTGGAGGCTTAAGAACTTGTCAGAAGGCCGGGGGACTTCGAGCCTTCTGAGAAGGCCCGCCCCTTCTCACTTCCCCCCTCGCTCGCCGCCGAGACGGGTTTCTGGGCGGGTAATTGCATGTCCGTCCCGGATCCATGCTTGCTGGCCCCCTGGGCCCGGCAATGGCCCCCGCAAGGCCGAAACCGAGGAAGACGCGCCGGGTGTTCCCAGAATCGCATCGTCGGAGATCCGTGGATCCCCTCTTCCCCCACCCCTGAGCCCCCGACCACTGGTCGCGAGGGGCCGGCTGGGCGGGGGCCCCGAGCAGGCTTCCTCGCGTCCAGGGGCCCACCCCCCCGACCCTGGTGCAGTGGCCTGGACTGGAAGAAGGACCCTCGGCGTCCCCAGTTGATCGCGACGGCGCTGCACTCAATTCGGGAATGTCTTTCTACAGGAGGAATATTGCAAAATAGTCAAAGAATATTATGGAGACTCTTTTGTTGCAAATGTTTTATCCGTATATTGGGAAATGTTGCGATTGTGCTTTATTTTTCGTCCAAAAACGACCTGTAGGAGAACATACATGCACGACCTAACGCTGGAGGCAGACTGTTTGTTAGTGGAGGCAAGGGACCAGATGCGCTACCCGTGCCTCGTTCTCCTTGTTGTGGGCATCCGAAGGCCTCGTTGCCACCGCTGGATTTCTCTTCGAAGTTCTGGTCAGAACGCTCCCTTCGAGGGGGTCCGGGGGGTAGCGGCATCGGTACCTTTTGGTTTCCCCAGATGGAGCGCTACGGCGCTGCACGCCCATCTCCGCTGGAGGCAGCGCGTGGATCGGGGGGCGAGGCCCGGAGGGAAAGCTGGGCTTCGCTCAAGGCGGGGCTCGCTTGCGCGCCTGCTCGGCCCAGCGCTGCTGGAAATGGCGAAGGAGGGGGGGGGGAGGGTGCCACGCACGGGAGCCTGCCAACGTCTGCATTCAAACGCGCTCCGGCGGAGCTGCGGCGGCGCCCTGCTCCTCCAGTCCGTTGCCTTCTAGATGACCCCCCTCCCCCCTGTCGCAGTTTCGACGCCGGTCTAAAGGGCGGCAGGGCGTTCCGCTTGAGAGTTCTTCACCAGTTATAACCCTAATTCTTAAAAACTGTCAACAGCTTCACAGATGGAGGGCGGGTCGTTTTCAGAATGTGGCTCTCGCCTTAGCGCCGCGGATTGAGGACGGACCGTATTCAACATGTGGTTCTCGCCTTGACGCCGCGCACATTCGTTTAGCAAACGTTGCAAGAGCTGCACGGATTGAGGCCGGGTCGTTTTCAAAATGTGGCTCTCGCCCCAGCGTCGCATGAATTTCTTTTACATTTGCAAGCGTTTTGCAGATCGAGGGCGGGTGGTTTTCGAAATCTGGGTCTCGCCGTAGCGACGCGCACATTCGTTCGAAGAGTTGCATGGGTTTCACAGATTGAGGGCGGGTGGTTTTCCAAATTGGGCTCCCGCCTTCGCGCCGCGCACACTCTTTGTAAACAATTGCGAGAGTTTTACGGATTGAGGGTGGTTCGTTTTAAACATTGGGTTCTCGCCTCAGCGCCTCGCACATTCGTTCTCGAAGTGAGGCTCTCGTCTCAGCGACGCGTACATTCGTTCAAAACAGCGCCGAGAGTTTCATTCAGTTCCATTCTTAACGTAGCAGAAATAGTATGTTGAACGATTCAGGGCTGTTATTGCGCAGCAATTACCCGTATTCGCGATGTTGAAGTACCAAGAGCGGCTTTCTGGCACGATTCAGGGTCGTCAGGACGTAACAGTCAGGTTAATTCGTGGCGTTGAAGTCCTGAGAATGGTGTTTTGGTACGCTTCAAGATGGCAACACGGTTGTCCCCCAGCCAGGCAATTTTGTCAGTGGAAATGGCCTTTTGGAGGGGCCTATGAAGAGAGTTTCTGGAGGGAGGGTGTATTTCAACATCGTTGATGAGTTTTGTTCCGACGCGCGGCCTTACGATTCGGCCACCAGGCCAAACTCCGCCTCGGACGCAAGGCTTGCCGTGGGTGTACCGCGTTGCAGGCTCCGTCTCTTTGGGCCCTCCTTCTCCCCCCCCCCCCCCGTGGGGGCGGCAGGGGGTCTACGTTGGATGGGCCCAGAGAAGATGATTCAAGAGTGGGGGCTGAGCCCATATCTGCCTAAAATCGTTGCCCGGACCCCACGGGGTCCAAATGCATTCTTTTTTCGAGCCGCGCCCAGCCGTAGGGACGACAGCCCTTGTTCAGGAAGGCCCCCTTCCTCCCCCTTCTGCTGGCCAGAACCAGTGCTACGCCACCTCAACCACCCAGCCGACTCCAACTCCCCTGCCTGCAGAGGGGTAACGATAGTGGGATAGGCATACGGGGGGGATGCATCGACCCCGAATGGCTGATACATCGTTGAACATCAAAGATATGTTTGTTTGATATCAGGGTACTAGGCCCAACTGTGTGCGCTTGGACCGGTTTGTCCTCCTGAGTCGTTTTTGAATGGCCCCGATGAGTCCGTAATGGCCCCCAGAGGCCGAAGATAGCCAAAGACCGTCCGCCGTGAAATGATCATGACCCGAGGAGGTCTTGGCTTGTCATAGACCCCGAAGAGTCTTTTAAAACCCCCCGGGCATAATTGGGAAACTATGAATTCTCCCCCAGGCTCTCCCCGGCTTCTTGACGGCTTGGGACTCCAACAGCAATTGGAAAACAATGATTCCCCCGCGGCGGCCCCCGCACATTCCTCCACTAGAGTCGTCGCCGCCGCCGTCGTCGTCATCGCCCCTGCGACTGCTATGTAGGAGGGAGGGGGAGGAGGAGGAGGAGGAGGAGGAGGAGGAGGAGGAGGAGGAGGAGGAGGAGGAGGACGAGATTCTCAATTCTCCGCTTGGGGCTTTTTTGGGGGGGGCAGGGGTGGGGGCGTAGCACTGAAGACCCTCTGGGGTTGCCCCTCACATCCTCCTCCTCCCCCTCCTTTTCTTCTTCCTCCTCCTCCTCCTCCTCCTCCACAATTACTCAATATGAATACTACACTCCCTCTTCCCCTGATGACGGTTTGAAAGTGCTCGACCCCCCCCGCGTATTGTTTTTTACACACAGGTTTCCCCGGAGTTGTGTCTTCGCTTGCATTTTTTTCAAAATGCTGCTCTCGCTGAGGCGCCGGCCTCATTTTCGAGCCCCGCTCGTTCCGAATCGTGCTCCCGCTGCAGCGTGGGCCTCATTCCCGTGCTTCCGCTCGTTCCGAATCGTGCTCCCGCTGCAGCGCTGGCCTCATTTCCGCGCTTCCGGTCGTTTCGACTCGTGCTCTCGCTGCAGCACTGCCGTAATTTCCCGTGCCATGCCACGGCATGCAATGCAATGCTAGGTTGATACTACGCTTTGCGGTGCTCTTCTACGCCATGCCATGCCGTGCTCTACAATGCATCGCGTACCATTTCGGGATCATTGCCCTGCTCGACATCCGACTGTGCGAGTGGAGAGGGGATCTGCGCCATGGTAAGGGATGGGAGGGAGGGGTAGGATGTCAGATATGACGCGAGCGCACCTATCTTGCCCTCCTCCTCTCCCCCACTCCCCCTCCTCTTCCTCCTCCCCCTCTTCCTCCTTCTCTCCTCCCTCCTCCTCCTCCTCCTCCTCCTCCTCCTCCTCCTCCTCCCCTCCACCCCTCCCCCACTCCCCCTCCTCTTCCTCCGCCTCCTCCTCCTCCTCCTCCGCCTCCTCCTCCTCCGCCTCCTCCTCCTCCTCCTCGGCCGCTGGCCGCGACGGCCCGGCCTGGCCCTCCGCGGGGGCGCCCCCGCCCTGCAGGCTTCTTCGCGGCCGGCGGCCCCCCGCTGTCGCAGGCCTCGGGCCGCGCATTTGCCCGCCGCCGCGGGCCGCCGCGTGCCGCCGCCGCTTGCTGCCGCCGCGGCGGCCCTGCGGAGCCTTCGCCAGCACATACCCACTGTTCATGTCTAATTCTTCGGAAGGTCTGTGATTTTTTGGGGGGCCAAGATCATTTCATTTCTAATATTTCTATCCTGGGCCTCGTCCTGGCCACTAGGGGGCCAGGAACAGTTAGAAACGAGCACGATCAGGAATGAGCACGATTAGAAACGAACGACGTGTAGCTTCCACGTCAGTGCGGTAGGTTCGCGTCGTGTCGACCAGCGGCGGCCCCGCCACAGGCGCGTTCAGCGCTGAGCGCCGCCGGCGACCCAGAACCGGTTGATGCTGAACGACCTGATGGCTTGGAGACGGCCGATCTTTCAAGGTGGAACGATGCCCGCGGCGTCAGAAGCCAGCGCCGAAGTCGGCACGACAGGAAGCTGCCGCACACAAGACTGACCCACTGACGGATCCAATTCGTCTTCCACCCACTGGCATCAAGCTCATGCGAAGCAGCATGCTCTCCCCCGAGCCATGACAGAGTCACGACGGGAGGTTTTTTCCGCTAGTTGGTTCCTCTGGTCGGGAGCGAGAGAAGAACGTACACGTACATGAATCCACGCTGGTTTCGAGAGTTCGCGTGGCGCAAATGTTCGCATTGCGCGGCCGGTCTCGCGGGTCAAGGGGTCGTGTTCATGTACATAGTTGTGCGCGTACATCCTTTGTGGGCTCCCTATCTGGAGGCCCTCAACGGGCCTCGGGGCCGTCAAGAAAACCATTCCAGACAGATGAAAAAGCGGTCCCGGGGAGTGGGTCGAGACTTCCCGGGTCGACGTTACGAGCAAAAATCATGACGTCGGGGGTCTGGGCATTCTGGATGGCACGATGCTCCTCCCCCCCCATTGGGTTCCGGGGGGGATGGGCGCATGCCGTCGGGAGGGGATTGGGGGGATGACAGTTTTGCAGCTCAAGCTCCTTGGCCGGGTGGAGTTGGGGAGAGACTTTGGGACGCGCGTTGAGGGGCGGTGTATGGGGGGGGTGGGGATGCTCCGTCGGAAGACGAGTCGCCCTCCCCCCCACGATGATTTTGCCATCCGGAGTAAGCCCGGAGGTCCTGGCGTCGCTCGTTCGAGCAGGTCGTTTCCGCCTTGTTTCGAGCCCCGGGACCCTCACAGATCGATCCGGCTCGAAATGTGGCGCAGGAAGACGGGGTCTAGGGCTCCGGCAGTGGCGCATCATTCGTTTGAACTGTGTCGCGACGCCAGCCAGATCTCAGGAAGGGCCGAGGAGTTTCGAAGTTTCGAAGGGGATGAGGTTTTGAGATTCGAAGGGACGAGGAGCTTCGAAGTTTCGAAGGCGACGAGGTTTTGATCTCAGGGAACGAGGTCTCGAGTTTCGCAGTTTCCAGACGCGCTGTGGGGGCTCCCCCTGGGCCCGCTGCTGGGCGCGAGTGCCCCGTGCGAGCACCCGCGTGAGGCGCCAGGTTCTCAGAGCTGGCCTCCGGAGGCCTGCGCACCGAGCGGCCGCAGGGCCGCCGCGGCCCACGGAGGGTGGGTGCCAGTCGGTGGCTGTGGAGCCAGGCCTCTCGCTCAGGACCCGGGCATTTTGTCTTTCGGTGGAGGGCAAGAGCCGTTCCGAGGAAATGCCGCTTCGATGGATGTTCGAGGCTTGGATCTGCGAAAGGTGAACCACAAGACGAATATAATCTTCGAGGTGCAAGAGCCCATATGGATTTCACCCTGAGCATTCCACCCTGAAAAGATGCTCAGAGGACGCAGGTTTTTCTAAGTTTTCTGCCTCTGGAGGCTCTCGCCTGGCCCGCGGCCGTCAGAGAACGACTTGGGGTGAACAGCGCGGGTCCCGGGGACGGGGTACTCCTGGCCTCCTCCTCCTCCTCCTGGCCTCTTCCTCCTCCTCCTCCTCCTCCTCCTGGTCTCCTCTTCCTCCTCCTCCTCCTCCTCCTCCTCCTCCTCCTCCTGGCCTCCTCCTCCTCCTCCTCCTCCTCCTCCTCCTCCTGGCCTCCTCCAACTCTTGGCCTCCTCCTCCTCCTCCTCCGCTCGGCCCCTGGCGCGTCGAGGCTTCGGGGGGCGCGGTACTGAAGAAGTCAAGAGATCGGATGTCTGGGGAGCCGCAGCTTCCCTGCGGAGCCTCTGCCCATGGGAAGGGTCGAGGCGGGGATTGGTCCATTCGAGGTTCGAGTTTTCCGGCGGAGGTGTTTGTGGATAGATGGGTAGACCCCTTCGAAGATGGATCCCCGAGGCGGTGGTTGTGTATCGGTCTCCGACTCACAGGGCATTGAGACCCTGGCACGTCATGTTGTTCCAGCGGGGTGCGGGACCCTTACAGATCGCTCCGGCCCGACGAGTGGCGCAGAAAGTCTAAGGGGGCTCTCTTGGGCCGTTTAGGGGCCGTCTTGGGACCGTCTGGGGCCGTCGTGGGGCCCTCTTGAGCCGTCTTCGAGCCGTCTTGGGGGCCTCTTGGGCCGTTTTGGAGTGTCAGGAGCTAGAAGAGTCGAGAACCCCCCAAAACAGTGGAAACCATAAGGGAAGTACAGGTATTGGCATCTTGAGGAGGCTCTCGAGGCTCTTCTTCGGGCGTCTGGAAGGCTTCTTGGGCCGCTTCGGGCCATCTTGGGCGTCTCGGAGCGATCGTGCGGCGATTTGGGGCCCTCTTGGACCGTCCGGGCGGCCCGTCTTGGGGCCCTCACAAGGAGATTTGGCAATTGTGGGCCTGGGTCCTTGAAAGGATCGTCAGGATTGAGGACTGAAGCTCCAGGGGATCTTCCTCAACACCCACACAGGATTCCAATTGTTGTGGGTGTTTCAGAATGGTGATACCGCTGCAGCGTGGGCCTCATTTTTGGATCAGCGTTTTGCTCCCGTCGTTCAGAAGGGCGCTCCCGCTCCAGCGTGTGCTACCTTTCAGGATCCGAGTCCCTTTTCATCGCATTCGCGCCTTCGTTTCCACCCTCCTCTCCCCCTGCCCCTGGTCCTCCTGCTCCTCCCGCTCCTTCCACTCGAGCTCCTGCTGCTGCTGCTGTTTGTCCTCGTCCTCCTTCTTCCTCTTCCTCCTCCTTCTCCTTCTCCTCGCATCCTCGTGCTCATCTGCCACGTCCCCCCCCTCCTGGACACAGCATCCTTTTTTCCGATGGCGCAGTGCACGATGGGGTCCTCCTTGGAGTTCCAGGTCCGCTATGACACGCGTCGGCGGATGGAGGAGAAACAGCCCAACAGAAAGGGACGGTTGAGAGAGGTTAGCTGCCAGATATGGCGCGAGTTTGCCTAGCTTGTCGTTTCCCTCTCTCTTTGTTCCTCCCTCGCACCCTCCTGCCTATCCCCCCCCCTTCTCCCTCCTCCCCTTCTCGACCTGCTCCTCCTCCCCCCTCCCACTCCACACTCCTCATCCCCATCGCCCCCTCCTCCCCATCGTCGCCCTCTCTTCCTCCTCCCTCTCCCTTCCCCCTTCCCCCCTCTCTTCCTCCTCTCCTTGGATCTCTGCTCCTCCCCTCCTCCTCCTCCTCCTCCTCCTCCTCCTCCTCCTCCTCCTCCTCCTCCTCATGTTCCCCCTCCCCTGGGCCTGCTCCTTTCTCCGCACGAGGACCGCGAGGAGGAGGAGGAGGTGGAGGAGGAGAAAGAGGAAAGGGATGCCGAGAAGGAGGAGGAGGAGGAGGCGAACCTGAGGCCGCCGAGCAGACGGCGAGCGCCCCTGGCGCCGGCGGCGGGGGCAGCTGCCTGAGCTACGGGTGCCCCCTCCCCTGCCTCCGCCCCTCTTTGTTTTTTTTGTGTCATGGGGGGGCCCAAGCTCTCTCCGTGTGTCTCTCTCTCTCTCTCTCTCGCTCTCGCTCCCTTTCCTTTCCGTTCTCCGTCTCTCTCTCCCTCTCTCTCTCTCTCTCTTTTTTCTCCTTCGTTGCTGTTTCTGCTCTCTCTCTCTCTCTCTCTCTTTCTCCCTCTCTCTTTACATATGCCTCTCTTTCTGCCTGCGTGAGTGCTTGTGTGTGTGTTCATGTGTGCGTGTGTGTGTGTGTGTGTTGGTGTGTACGGTCTGTCCGTCTGTCTGTCTGTCTGTCTGTCTGTCTGTCTGTCTGTCTGTCTGTCTGTCTGTCTGTCTGTCTGCGTGTCTGTCTGTCTGTCTGTCTGTCTGTCTGTCTGTCTGTCTGTCTGCGTGTCTGGCTGTCCGTCTGTCCGTCCGTCCGTCCGTCCGTCTGTCTGTCTGTCTGTCTGTCTGTGTGTCTGTCTGTCTGTCTGTCTGTCTGTCTGTCTGTCTGTCTCACCCGTCGGCTCTCGATGTTGGGGCCTCCTCTTCCCGTTTCCTCCTCAGCGGCCGCTCCTCTCTGCGTTTCCCCTCGCTCCGTGCGCCCCGCGCCCAGCGCGCCCCGCCGGTCTCGACCCGCGCGCCTGCGCTCGCCGGCGCTGCCGATCTGAGAGGGTCGGTTTGCTTGCCTGTCTGTTTTTGCCTGTCCGTCTGGCTTCCCTCGCTCCCTCCCTCGCTCCCTCCCTTCCCCCCCCCCTCCCGCCTCCTCCCCCTCCTTCTTTTATCCCCTTCTGCTTCCCAGAGCATGCTGGGGACTTCGGCCCCGTGGGGGACAGTCTGGGTAATTCATGGCGAAGGGCTCGAGCTAAAGAGTGTTGGGGCGCTGTCGTGGGCTGTTTTCGTTCTGGTGCTGTTCTGCGGCGAGGGGCGAACGAAGACGGGCCGCGGGGAGAGCGAGCACGAGAACGAGCACGGCAGGCACTCTTTGGCTCGAGCCCTGCCTCGCGCACTGTTTGGCGCTTCGCCCCCCAGCGCTCCCCAGCCGTGCCCACGGCGCCGTGGCAGAACACAAGTCACGGCGGTAGGCTTCAGTCGGGCCTGTCCCTCTACAGGAGGAATCTTCAAAAATAGTCAACAAAATGTCAGGGGATGTTTTTTGTTAGTAAAGAAAAGCAAATGGAATATGTTGTAGCATGTTTAGAGTATTTCTGATTTTCTGCCACGA